AAGGGAGGTACATAGATGCCGGTGAAGGGCTCTTGGTCCAAAGAACTGGATTTATCTCGCCCTTCCGTAAATCTAACTAGATATATGGAAGGGAATGCTCCCCATTCCCAAGGCGTTGTATGAAACCAGTTTAGCACTTCCTCCTCAGTACAATAGTCAGACCGGGATCTGTTGTAGAGATATATACATGTCGTGCCGAATACGTAAAACTTGCGATTTTGGCTTAAATAGCAACGCTTTTCATGCCGAATAAAGCAAGCGAAAATTTATGTATGCAATAACTTGGCAAAAATCATTGAGTCTAACGAAAAAAATATATTTCATTGTTTATTATTAAATTATTGTAAACTTGTCTAAAATATATTTAGTTGGATTATGCTAAATTAAATTGTGCTTGTATTAATGTTAGGCAAGTTTCCTAAGGTGCTTTTGGTACAAAATCATTGATTTTTATATTAACATAAACGAAAAAAATATATCTTTAAATGTATAAGAGAAAATTTTAGAAAGGACTTAATTTTAAATGCGTTCTTGCTAATTGACCAGTTTCACCTATTCGGCACGACATATATATGTCTATATATATATAGTGTGTGCATGCATGCAATAAGATCACAGTAAGCAGGTGAAAATTGTCATGGGCTTGTTTTTTTTTTTTTTCGATTTTTTCTTAAAAAGTTGGTACAGTAGATTTAGGTAGGTATGTGCGGGTGCGTAATGTTTGCTTTTATTAATATGCTCAGTAAGTGCGAAAAACAATCATGAACATTAATATTCAACAGGCAAGATATACCTTGCTTGATTATTGGAGATAACTTTTGGCATACATAATTTCTTACACACCGGCACCTTGCTGGTGGTAAGTACTGTGCTGCTGTACATGACTAGATTCAAATATTGGTAGACGCTAATCTAAGATTATTCAGAACTATAAAATTAATAACTACATGTGGGTATCTTTGAGAAACTTCTCTCAGCATGGTCAACTGAATATGCCCAATATCCTGCAGGCGAAACTGTTTTCAGTAAAGATATCCATTGTTGACAGTTTTCTGGCCCTGCCAGTTGCACGTTTTTTACGTTTTTTTTTTTGACAGGTTATGCGTCCTGCCTGCATTTACGAAGGCTTATTATCTCTAATACTATGTAGTTTTAGATTAGCGTCGATAATTATTTCAACATCCCAAAAATTCAAGCTGAGAGAAGGAAGACAGTGTGTCCTTGAGTTAAAATCATTCCTGAATTTGAAAACTATAATGAAAGAGCTGAATTCGATGTACTTTCGTGACGTGTATCAAATTACATTTTCAAGTAACTGTCTCGAGAATGGATATATAAATCACGAAACCCCTTAAAATTTTTCATTACCTGGAGACCTGGAGAGAGTTTCGGGGGTCAACGCCCCCGCGGCCCGGTCTGTGACCAGGCCGTAAAATTGCATTCATATACCGTATATGACGACGTTTCGGTCCGTCGTCTTAAGTTTTTCTGCCTTCGTGTGTTAGTGTGACTATACTATGTGACATACATGTATGTCGTGCTTTAAATTTAACCAGAGTGGACAAACGAGCACAATTGTCTTTAAAATAAATGAAGATTTTTTCTTAGCTTAATATAGATATTAACGAAAATTAACATACGCAGATTTTCAATTGGACACCAAAACTTAACCCTGCTAGAATTTACATAATTAGGTTAATCCTACCTAATCAATCACCTCGTAAGATTCTTCTAACTTGTATTCACTTTATGCTTAGACTAATTTTTGCAGTTATATAAATAAAATACCTATGCTTGTTTGGCTTGTGTAAACGTATTCACCCCGTATTGAATGAAAAATTATTTGTGCTCATGCTTTGGTTTCAGCAAGTGACTTATTTGAAGTTATTGAACAATACGAGAGAAAATATGGGTAAACTAATGGTGTATAAACTTGTAAATGTATATGGATGTTGAGTAAAGAAAATCTTGGAAGTAGGCAAGCTTGGGTGATTGCAGTAAGGGTATACAGGCTCGCAGGTGTTGAAAACGTCACCTGCAAGAATAGCTCTGACCAGTGGTACAAGGCGCGCACGCCTGGCCTTCCCTGCTCTGTATGCTCACTAACCAACCTTAGTACCCGCCCACACCACCACCATCCCCCACGCTACCGCCCACACCACCACCATCCCCCACGCTGCCGCCCACACCACCACCATCCCCCACGCTGCCGCCCACACCACCACCATCCCCCACGCTGCCGCCCACACCACCACCATCCCCACGCTGCCGCCCACACCACCACCATCCCCCACGCTGCCGCCCACACCACCCCATCCCCCACGCTGCCGCCCACACCACCACCATCCCCCACGCTGCTGCCCACACCACCCCCATCCCCCACGCTGCCGCCCATATCATGTGGGAGTTCGAACACGTGGATAGGGTAAAGTAATACTCACGTAGGCTGGTAGTACGTATAATTACGGATAATGTGGGGAGCGCCCAAACAGCCGTACCTATCTCCTAGCTTACTCTCGTATGACTGACCGCCCACAGTACCCAAATGTGAGGGGGTCTTTGAATACTGCTGTGGTCAGCACAATATGAATACAGACAGTGACTCAGGCAGAGACGGTTGGTAGTGAGTCATCTACTGGTACACTGGTTACTGGTAACTGGTTACTACTACTGAGAGCTCGGCGACGCTAACATATGTCGTCCTGACATACAACTAATACAAACTAGAGATGGCAGGTGTACGGCTTGGGCTGATTCTATACAATGTCAAAGTACACAACAATTGAACATTATAACATACATAAGTAGAACATTGGAATGGAAGCTTACGTAACTGAAACTGTAATGCAATACAAGGTATAATATAGCACAACTCATCGAACCTACTTTGATTTTGGATGGCTTTGCTCGAGTGTTTGCGACTCTTGTAAATTCTGCTGTTGATTTATGAAGTGTTTCACGGATTCTTCTAAAAACACTTTGAGCTAAGCTGGTACGAGTTGCTATGAAATCATCAGGATTGTAATTTGGTTTCGGATTAGAATATAACAACTCATAAGGCAAACGTTTATCTACACCATACAATGCATAATGTGGAGTGTCACCTATAGAAACATTGTAAGCAGAATTTATAGCACACTGCACATCAGGTATAACTTCATCCCAAGTTTCACTGTTGGGATTGATAGTGGCTCTCAAGACATCAAGTACTTTCTTATTGGTTCATTCTGCTATCCCACCGCTGCCACCATTTATCATGTGGGGTTCGAACACGTGGATAGGGGAAAGTAATACTCACGTAGGCTGGAAGTACGTATAATTACAGATAATGTGGGGAGCGCCCAAACAGCCGTACCTATCTCCTAGCTCACTCTCGTATGACTGACCGCCCACAGTACCCTTATGTGAGGGGGTCTTTGAATACTGCTGTGGTCAGCACAATATGAATACAGACAGTGACTCAGGCAGAGATGGATGGTAGTGAGTCATCTACTGGTACACTGGTTACTGGTAACTGGTTACTACTGAGACCCACACCACCATCCCCCATGCTGCCGCCCACACCACCCCCATCCCCCACGCTGCTGCCGCCCACACCACCCCCATCCCCCACTGCCGCCCCCCACACCACCCCCATCCCCCACTGCCGCCCCCCACACCACCCCATCCCCCACGTTGCCGCCCCCCACACCCCCCATCCCCCACGCTGCCGCCCCCACACCACCACGCTGCCGCCCCTCCACACCACCTTCACCCACGCTGCCCCCTCCACCACCTTCCCCACGTGCCCCCCACCACACCCACGCTGCCGCTCCCCACACCATCCACCACGCTGCCGCTCCCCACACCACCACCATCCACCACGCTGCCGCCCACACCAAAACTACGCTGACCCGCCCACACCACCACCCCCACTATCCAGAAGACAGTTTGTTCATCTAGTCGATGCAAAAAGTGGATACACCCCCAAGATTTCAGATATTAACAATGCGTGTTTCGCCATATCCTGTAAGGTTTGCCTGGAGGTGTCTGAAAGATTGGATGTTTGGACACCAGTGAATGAGCCCCATCTCTGCCCAACACACTTTACATTTTATGTTATTGACTGTGTAAACATATCCAGTGTGTTAGTAGACTAGCCAAGGCTTAAAGGTCTAGATGAATGATGTGAACAGGTGGGTGGGTGTGTAGTGATTGAGTGCTGACCCAGACACATGCTGAGCTGCCTCTACATACGGGGCTAGCAAGAGAGGGGCCCGTGTATTGGCAGGCGATACGAACTGCTAAAAGGCTTACATTTGTTCTGCCACACTCCTCGAGTCATCCAGACTCGGTAAGTATGGACAAGTGGTAACTGAAAACAGAACACTTGTAGGGTCTTGGGTTTGACTTAATCTTGTCTTCAAGAGGGAGCTGGACAGATACCTAAAGTCGGTGCTGGATCAACCGGGCTGTGGCTCTACGTTGGACTATGTGCGTCCAGCAGTAACAGCCGCATTGATCAGGCCCTGATCCCCCAGGAGGCCTGGTCATGGACCAGGCCGCAGGGGCGTTGATCCCCGGAATACCCTCCAGGTAGACTCCAGGCACGTAGACAAGAATGTAAATCCAGAAGGTATGGGTATAATAAACTTCCTCATTACAGAGATGGATGAGTCACTCACTTTTTTGGGTTATCCTAGGTTCTCTACATATGTGCTGCTATGTATGATAATCATTGTAACTGTGTATACCTGAATAAACTTGCTTAAATAACCAAAAAAAGGCACAATACCCTAACTGGAACAATACACAAATAACCCGCACATAGAAGAGGGGAGCTTACGACGACGTTTCGATCCTTCTTGGACCATTAGTGTGACTTTGTAAATGGACCAAGATGTCGTCGTAAGCTCCTCTCTTCTATGTGCGGGTTATTTGCTTAAACTTGCTTACTAAAAGTGATTAGTCGAAGAACACAGGTAATTCCAGCATGGAGGCGAAAGAGAAAAGGGACGAACTTTTGACGGAGATGGAAAAGTTGTGCGCTACTGTGCTGAAGTGTTGTTTTCTCTCCTTGGCCTGGCTGAAACAAGCTGACTGGGAACACTGCTGCCACTGGACAAGTTGTGTGCAACTGTGCTGAAGTATTGTTTTCTCTCCTTGGCCTGGCTGAAACATGCTGACTAGGAACACTGCTGCCACCAGTGTTTTACAAACTAATACCGCTGCAACTAATGTCTTGTGGGTTGCTTAGCCAATCCTGCTTGGCTATAAGCAGTTAAAGATTAGGCAGTGGAAGTGCTGAGTAACATAGTGTGGATTGGAGGTAAACATAGCTTGGCTTACTGGGATTTCTTGACAGTGGGCACATTAGATTGAACATATTAGTACACGAGCAAGGCCAGGTCTAAGAGAGAGATGTGAACAGCTGGACAGATGTCAAGTAAATGAACACTGACCCAAGCTGTCTCACCGTTAGAGGTCGACATGATTGGGCACAAGGAAGCCTATGTATTGGCTTGTGATACAAACTGATATGCTGCTGCCAGTACAGTACCATCAACCCATGCTGGTGCTCACACCACCACAATGCTTGCTCCAAACCTGCAACCATCATCACACTGCTTCCCATACCACCCCCCACTATCGCCATGCCACTGTCCATACCACCGCCATCCCTATTCATCCACTATTCCCATACTTTTAGCTGATATGTGCATGTAGGTGTATTGCGGGTTAGGCAAGATGTTTCATGGTCTTTTTAGTTGCAAAATATTTGTTGAATATTTGAGCTTTTACAAGCTGGTAACAACATTAGCTCAAACTAAGTAATTGTGACATCGGCAAGAAATTTACCATTTAGCACACTTTTTTTTTATTCAGAATTGTACTGTGTGCATTTCTCCTAATCTTTGTGAATTGAAATCATATACTTTTTATTTTTTACAGATTTTGGCCTTTATCTGCATTGCATTACTGCGTGAATACGACCTCCATTTTGGTGCTGAATCTTGGCATAAGAGTCTGGCAGACCGTAGGCTTGTTGGAATCATAGCCATTGGTTCTTCGATACTTATTTCTCTTCCTCTTCTTCTTGCCTACATCTTCTTTGCACATTCATCAAACCTACTGGTAAGTTATTTGATTTTATTGCTGATTAGTTTTATAGTACATTTTGTATCTCTTGTGGATTTATATACTGTACCCCCAGCTAGATCAAATTCTACACCCTTTTCCATTACCGAGCAGTACCTTCTAACAAAATTCTTCCCAACTCCATCCCCTTACTGTTGTTAATCAGCAGCTAAGCTTTCTGAAACCCCAAATATCTTGTAAGAAGAGACTGTTTACACACACATGTAGGGGTGTGAGAACACTCTTACATAATAGAAATCACAGACATTAGAACATCACTAATAAGGGCAATATAGGACAGTGAAACTGGAGAAATTTGCCTCCATACACCGGTGGGGTGTTGAATCCCCCTCTCGGGAGGCTGCAATCCCTCTTGAGGGATCACTGCCCCCTGAGAGGGGGAGTTTATCACCTGGAGTTACCAGGGAGAGTTTGTTGGGAAGTTTGTCACTGCCATGCATTTGTGGTCACACTGGTGCCTATGCTAACCTTCCTATGATGTATAAATATACCTAGTTGGTATTGTCTTATTGTAGCCAGCTGGCCCAGTGGCTAACGCGTTGGTCTGGAGTTTTAAGACTCTCCAGCCGCAAGTTCAGTCCCCGCCCATACTGTGGTTTATTTGCAATTTTGTCATTACAATTTCGTGTGTCAATTTATTAGATAAATGTGATGTTTTATTTCATAGGAATAGTGACCCATAATTTAATTTTCTTAACGAATTTATTACAGGAAGTACTGTATTGTTTCACTGCTGCCATCATGAATATTGCTGGCGGAGCCATGGCTATTGAGACTACCAGGACATGAGTAGGAGTAAATCTTCAGATGCTGGGATGGCAATGGGGGTAAGGTTAATTTTTCTTGCATGCAGGTTGCAAATTGGTGCTGTGTTTTGGGGTTTGATGTGGGCTCGTACTACTTGTGAACTTACATTCTTTCACTGTCACAACCCCCAAAATTAAATTAAAAGTACTGAAAGTACTGCAATTTAAAACAAAGATATATATGCAGTATATACTTTTATCTTACAAAATGATAATCTCTTTTTGAGGGGTAATGACACCAAAAACATGAAATTTGATGAGAAAATTATGGAATTATGCAAGTGCAAACTTGGTATGGGTGCAGTTTATGCATCAGCAAGTTTACCGAATTTTAGTCACATTTTTGGCCGTTTCCAATGCTCGATTTGACTCCTAGCTATTTTACTATTATACTTTGTTCTATCAATTTAGCTAATCAGTTATCAGAATTACTCTATAATGTTCACAGAATTTAGTAATTTGGCCAATTTTCCACAAAATTAAAAAACAAAAGTATAAATATAATCCAGAATAAACACTGCAGACATTCTCCCCACTAAAGCAACTTTTCCTCTCTTCAGAAATAATGTCCTCAGGCCTCTTCCATTTTTAATCCATCATCACAAAAAATCAGATTTACCCTACTTCTTGGATAAAGTATAACAAAGAACAATTGGTCATGGTTAAGAGCATCCTAAAAGTTGAGGGGGAAGCAGATCTGATAAAATATAAGACACAAGGGAGCCCCCTACTCTTCTTCAGAAAAATTGTTGAAAATCTTGTATTTCCACCACTTTGAGCCCTATTATAAGCTACGGTTTCCTCCTCACATTGCTTTAAAACCCTTTAGAACAGTTGGTCAGCACCCAGTGACCAGTTTGGTTTTAATCTTTACTGGTCTGAGGACCAGGTTACGTTATTATACTTTCAGGAAGCACCAAACATGTAGGGGGTCACACAGCAGTTAAGTTAGATACAATAGAGGAAATGGAAAAAAAAAAATTCTGCCCTTCTTGAGGGGACCATGTCACTAGCAACCTTAATATTGCATTTTATTTTTGTTCTAACCAGTATAATTGATTTCTGAGATTTTTGTAAAAGCTAAGGCAATTAGTGTTAAACAGTTCACACTTCTTTGGCACTAATAATAGGCTGACCTTAGTTACATTTAAATGGGACAGTCTTGTTTGTATATGCCTAATAGAAACTGTGTTGATTTTCGATTCCCTTGCAACTTTAATTTCATATTCTCTCTTGGCTTTTCCTATTTTTTGACCTTGTTATATTTAATATATTGCCCCATGTGGTAACCCCCACTTAATTTCTGTAAATGCTTCCCTATACATGTATACCCAAGAGATGTTTAATCTATTGTTTATCCATTGGATCATTTGTTTGATCTAATTTTGCATGAAGGGGCAGCCCCCACTGATTATTTTCCACTTTAAACATACAATGAAACTGATCGTGCTAGCCTCTCCCTTTGTTACATGCACACCAGCTGCTCATTAACCCTTTCAGGGTCCAAGGCCCAAATCTGGAGTCACGCACCAGTGTCCAAGAATTTTCAAAAAAAAAAATTTGTTATTTTTTCTTATGAAATTGTAGAGAATCTTTTTGTGAAGGTAATAAAACAAAAAGTACGAAATTTGGTGGAAAATTGACGAAATTATGCTCTCGCGAATTTTGATGTGTCAGCGATATTTACGAATCGGCGATTTTGCTGACTTTGACTCCCATTTTAGGCCAATTACATTATTCCAATCAACCAAATTCTTAGCTATTTCACTAGTATTACTTCTATTCTATCGATTGAGCACAAGAAATCGCCAAGTCAACTGTTTCAACTACAAATAAAGTGATCGGAAATTGTTAATTTGGCCAATTTAACACAGTTCAAAATATTCCAATTTCAAAATAGGGTCCAGAATAAACAATATAGGCATTCCTGGCACTAAACTAACATTTCCTCTGTTCATTAGTTATGTTTGAGGCTTTACAAATAAATTCCATTTTGATTTTTTATTCACATAATGAATTTTTATTCACACCAAAAAATAGAAGATTTACTGTTATGCAATACTGTAATAATTGTATAAATATCATCACCATATTTGTGAATGTATATTAGACCCACCAGCTGACGTGTATTAGACGTGTGAGGTCGTTTGTTTACTCTTGAATATCGGCAAAAATTTAACATTTCCGCTACTTTGAGCTCAGTTTCAAGCCATTTCCAGTGCTAAAACCAATCAAATCATCTCTATTTCGTAATAGTCTTCCATTCTATCAAATGAGACCAAGAAATCGCAAATACAACTATAAAAAACATACAAAAAAACACTGCAAAGTTGCTGTTTTAATCGAAAAATCATGATTTCAGTTTTTTTCTCTCGTTATACACAGCGTGCTGCAGGATCTGTTTTATGTGGTGCACACATACCACATAGATGTATTTCTCAATCTAGGCCCCAAAGTACCCCTCCAGTTTTTCGGGTGAGCTGAGCTCATGGCGTAG